TAACTTTGATGATTCGAGTAAGCTGTTGGGTACACCCGTAGCTTTCCGTTGTGAAGGTTACGAACCTGTGGTGTTGATGGAAGATGGTGGATCAGAAAAGAGACGGACGTGGAAAGCTTAATTCCGTCTTCTAGTCGATCGGAATTTGCCGAGTTCTCTCTCCAGTCTACACCGAAACCCTCTTACATATTTGCAACCGCCAAAATGACGATTTTCGGACTTCTCCGTAAATTCGCAGCAAAGGGAGAAAACGCGATATCTTGGTGGGGCGGAAAAGTCCGAAAGTTGACTCAGAACTGAAAAAAACGCGTTGCAAATATGGTCTAATCACACAAGCGCTAGCCTCGCGGGAACTGATACCTGTGGCCACTTCTCCCGCTCAAGCCAAGTTTAGAATTAAAAAACAAAACGATGAACAGTTTACCGGAAGGACAGCTATGCTTCCACTTCTATACCGGGCTTGAGCCACAATTCACCCCTTTGACACCCTATACAAGTATAAAACCTACTCGTCCAGCACATCCAGCGGCGGCGATGAACCTCAACCCAAACCTTTCAAGTAAAAAAATTTCGCCCTCGCCCTCTATCTATCTTTCCAAATTAACCTCGCAGGAGCTGAAAACTGCGCCAAGTGTCCCTCAACCGTTCTATTCGGCGAAAAGACAAGAGCTTTGACATTCGTATCACTATTGAAAAACGGTTCGATGAAACACTTTACTTGTTTACTTGTGCAGATAGATCTAGGTAACTTCAACTTTTAACATCACTTAGCTTCCGGCCCTCCTAAGCTTGTCAACGATCGACGGTCCTCCCTCTCTAAAGTTGAGGCTACCAAACGTGGTCCACGGGGTCCCAGATTTCCCGAAAGAATGGTCTAATAAAAGGACGTAGACTTCGAAGCTGCGAGCCTGACCGTGACGTATCTCCCTATAGGCTCAGTCTGTCTCGAACGAACCTCGCGAGACGGGGCTATGATACTCACCAACGCTGGGAGTGCTTGTGGGACGGCAACAGCAATTGTCGTTGTCGGTTCTTGGGAGGATTGCTCACCGATTTTGAGCGGAGTGGGAAACGAGGAGTAGAATCACTCACCCTCGCTCAGAAAATAACTACTTCGCCTTCTTCACTTGCGTGCTTCTCTACTGATAATCCTTATCGAAAAGTTTAAAACAGAATCATGGTATAAGATTTGAGGTAAGGGTAACAATACAACGTCACAAAGCTATCTCCATTACCTTCCCGCTGCAGCCGTGGTAGAAGCGAGATTAGAAGAACTATCTTCTGCAGCAATACTGGAAGCAACTGCATCGCCATCGACGGAACTACTAGGGGTTATAGTACTAGCAGGGGGACCTGTGGTCCTCGCGCCAACTGAGGTCGTAGAGACATCGTCGGTCGTGGAAGAAGAGGTATTGCCAAAGACCTTGACCTGCAGCGGAGCAGACATTTGAGTAGAAGAGACATCAGTAGTAGAAGCGGTCGACACGTTTTCGATTGTGGACGAAGTGGGTTCAGAGTCCGCCGTCACCGTAACGGTCAACGTCCTAGTCTCCGTAGAAGTGGCGGTAGCGGTGGAAGTATCAGTAGCGGTAGCGGTGGCAGCAGCAGCAGAAGTATCGGTGGAGGTGGGGGCAGCGGTGGATTCGGTAGACCCAGAGGCTACATTAGCGCTCGATGACTTGACATCGGGGCTCTGTTCAAGTTTACGGAAAGTCATGGTAACCTCCTCTCCTTTCTGTCTGCGTTGCAGAGATCTCGTGGTAGACGATTGGCTTGAAGTGGAGCTATCGTTCGGAAGCGGTTCAAGATGGCCAGATTCGGGATCGTATCCAAAGATCTGGCTTCGAGCAAGGGCTGCTTCTTCGTTAGCCATAGCTTGATCCCAGCAGTAGTCACCGTGGAGATGTGATCTCTCCTTCAAGGACGAGCTATAGGTAATGCATCGATTCTTGTCTGAGGTGTCAAACATGGCAAAGGAAGCGCAGTTCTTGAAGCCACAGCTGTTCGGACAAAGCACAGAAATAAGATACCAAATCGTGGCCTTGTCCGCCGATGCATCTATGTCTCCACTCGAGGTATTGAGGAGTAACGAACCATAGTTCTTCCCTGACTCCAAACCCTGCCGAGGAAATCAGGATCAGACCTGCAGCAACGGAACTGGGCTTCTTACCTTCAGCTCGATATGCCCGGGAGATCGATTACTTTCATCCCTAGCCTTGACGATGTCATCGGGAGAAGAACGCCTAGACGAAGAGCTACGATGGAGTAGACCGTGGCCAAGGTCAAGTCCGAGGTGGAGGCCATAGCCGCGACGGATATGGAAGAACATCTGTTCGGTTGACCGCTTCAAGGATAGGCCTTTGCTGCCATTGTGAATATTGACCTTCAACCCAAACAACGACGACGGGGCGTGGATACTCAGTACCTCCTAAAACAGCGCATATACCCATCAGAAAATACTCAGGTCGTGATGAACGGCGAGAGAGATCGTACCTTGCGATAAAGACGCTCGCCGCCTTTCTCAGAACGCTTATTCTTCTTCTCGCCATGCTCCTCATTCAAATCGCTATTGGCTCGAGGAAGATTCAAAATGGGACTTTCTTCACGAATCATCGCCTGGCGAACAACTTCTTGGAAGCGGACAGCAACTGGGACTGGAATCGCGAGACCCTCGACGGTAGGTGCGTTCAAGATTGCGGTAAGAGAGATGGAGGCAGCGATGACGACGACGCGAGATGTAAGGACAACCATGATGTTTGTGAAGAATGAATAGTAATGTGCGAGTACGAAACCAGTCGTTAAGAAATAGCGATGTGGAAGAGGCGTTCAAGTCACCAGGACCAGATGGGAAAAGAGAAGAGAGAAGTGAAGAGTGAGGTATGGAAATGGCCGAGGATTTTATAGGGCTTCGATATTTGTTGAGATTTGGTAGCCTGACAAATTTTGCCTCAGTACGGAAGTTGACCTCATATCGAGAAGACACCCAATGCGCACAGACCACCTTACGAATGTCCGTAACACCGACTGTTTCGACTCTTGACATTTCTTCAATGCAAAGATATAGAGGAGCTCAATGAAAGCGGTTGTCCCATACCAGCTCACTTCGTAATTCCCTCCCGTTCATCGGACAGAAAAAGCTCGACGGATTTCCTGTAGGCAAATAAAAATGCATCAGCTCTCTCAAGACCGAGGATCGCCGTAAACTTACGCCTCTTGCTCCCATTGCTGCTGTTGTTTTTTGCTTCTATTTTTTTTTTTCACCAGTTCTGCCAAGATACGATTGACTCCCGGTGTTCTCTGAGATCTGACCCCCACCTCTCGAGTTAGATCTCAAAAACAACCCAAAATTCTCCTTTTTTGCATCGTTCCCGGTCCTGGTTGAGCATAGGTCGATTGGTAGGTTGATTGGTAGTCGTGTCGATTCCTTGACCACGGCTGCAAAGAGTCTATGTAGCACGCACGTCTATACACCGGAAATACGTAGCTCACTAACCACTTTGAGGACTACCAAAGTTCCTTTGCGTTTGAGAAGCTTCCACAATGAAGTAGATGAAGTACCGGCAGTAGCTGGGAAGCCGCCCGTGAAACGCTTGTTTCCGCCGGTAATAAATTGACCCGTTTCCCCTCTAATCTCCCCCGTCAGGGTCGGACAACTACACCTCTCTCCCTCTCCCACTATCGGAAACAAATACCTAGAAGTATGCTACGAACGTTCACATTTAGAAAACGCGCTCGCATACTCCCCCCACATACGCGTGACAATTCGTCGAGTTCTTCTATCAAGGTCCGTGTATCGACTTCTGATCCAAGGTCGTCACAATCTAAGCAACTGCCTACTTTTTAGAAACTTCAAGATGCCTTTCGAGATCCAAACTCGCCGTATCACATACCCCCCGGAAGCCAAGGCCCCGCGTCACCGGATGAAGTACAAGAAGAGCACTCATTTGAGGAACAACTGGAGAACGCGCGTTCGAAACTGGCCAAAGCTGGATTTTCTCGCCAGTTCTTTTGGCAACAACCCATGATATGGGGATATCATGATTCTTTCCAGTGCGTCTATCAAAATTAACTCGTATCACTCAACTACTCACTTTCTATTCTCTAAATCCCCTCGGATAGACACGTTAATAACGTTCACTACGGTATTTTTACCTCCTTCTCATGAGGCTTGAACTCGGCGGCTCACTTTCCCACTACCTTTCCCCCCTCGAACCTGGAACTCAGTACGGTTCTTCGAATCCGTAAGTCAATCCTGATTATCCTCTCTTCAATCCAAAACCGCCCATCCCCTTCGACACTGATACGGTTTATCCAGAGTCGCATCCATTGGATGTCACACCTCGGAAACCGTCTCGGCGGACCAAAAAGAGCCGAAGCCCTCCTTAAAGGCAAAGGAATCTCCCTCATCCTCAAATCCATCCAAGTCAACTTTCGAAGACCTGTAACCTACCCGGACACCGTGAGCTTTCCCTTCTTCTATCTGACTCGCCCTAACAGACCGTTTCTAGCTCCTCCTTTCCCACAAACCCTATGTCCCTCAAACAAGCCCAACAACAAACCCGGATGATCCAAGTCACCTTTACCTCACCTCGTCAGCATTTTCGGTTGCACAACAAGCATTCGTAGCACACTCGTATGAAACTATTGTTTGGTACGACTATGACAAGTTACGGAAGTGTGACCCGGGCGAAGAGTATAGGAATGCGGTTTGGGAGACGTTTGGTGAGCCTCCGAGAGGTTGAGCTCAGGTTGCATGGGGGTTGTGTCTCTTCTTTATGTTCCTTGCATTTACCTTGCTCTTCTCAGTCGAGACAATCGGCATTCCTTGTCGAACTTTTTTTGCGCATTGCCTATCTCTGTCCTCCGCTAATCCGAACGAGACATAACTATTTTTTACTCGATTTTTGGTAGATCCTGAGCACATATTTTGACCTTGTACTCACCCGAGTACTGTTAAAGACAGAGAGAGAGAAATACTGGTGAATCAGAAGGCATAAAAAAGATCCTGCCAGGAATCGAACCTGGGTCGATGGAAGGTGAATTTTTGGCTAAATCAGAATCCATAGTGATAACCGCTACACTACAGGATCTATATTTCCTCATGAACCAAGATAATAATAATCAATAGGACTGGAAAGCTCTCATTTCTGCGCTATTTCTCTCACTCACCCCGAACCATAGTGAGTGGCAACAGGGAGCTTGAAGTCAGCTTTCTGCTTACTATAAAGAGAGAAGATTGAGTTCACAATCTTTTTTTTATTCCTCTAGTATAAACGGCCATTACTACACTCCCTTTCCAGATAAGTACGAAAAGTTAAACGATGAAACTTGCGTCCCAGACCCGCCTCTCGACCCTGAATTGGTGGCTTGGGTCAACAAAGAACTCAAACAACAGCTCAAAAGAATTTGGCCCAAGGATCCTATCAGCTAGAGGCGAGTCCGAAAAGGTTTCGAATGCGAAATGATGGTGGCTGACAACCGACGATGGATCAGGATGATGTCAAAGACAGTGTCTCACTGCCAGACGATTCCGTGGAAGACCCGGTCATCAGTCCAAATAAAGTAGTCTTCTGAGTTCTCCTCGATTGTGCTCGGATATGGAGTTCTTATGTGCTGCCAGGGATTCTAGTGCACTATGTGCGCCTCTTCAGTGCCAAACGTGGCTCAACTCAAGCAACACGTAATGCTGGTGCCAATTGGGACAGTATTAAGTATGGGATTCTTGTCGACAACGCTTACATTTGTCCGTCTGCGTACTGTGACTTTGTGTACGCATTATTTTTTACAGCTCTCAGCGTTCTGATCTGATGTTCCAGCGCTGCCTCGTCTGTCGACACTGAAAGCCATCTCATAAACGATAATGAATGTCCAGGACGCGATGATTGGAAGCAGTTGCGTACCAAGCACTCTGAGTAATACGCCTCGGCCAGTGGTCGGCGTACTACGTCTCCCAGTCGGATTAGCTCAACAAGTCTTCCGGAGAGGATCAAACTCATTGCTCTGTGTATGACGTATCCCTGTGTGAACCATGACCATGAAGCGTTCCCCATTTTCAATTTTCAAGTCAATATCCTCGTTTAGAAGGACTGTTGTATACCTCTGCTTATATCGATATCTTCACCGTAATTGTACGACGTTGCCTTGGGATGTGTTTAATGACAGGGTGCTCTCCGCAACAGCAACATCATATGCATGAATTGTGATCAACAATACGGCCATGTTAAACGTGTCCAGTGTCTATCAATGAAGATATGGTTAGTATTTCAAAATGAGTACTGGCCGCATCTGAAGGCTCAGCCAAAGATCGCCAGTACCCAGATATCGGCAGGTCAAGGTCCTTTCAGATGAGTAAATCAATTCAAGGAAACGAACACCATCATCCGTCCATAGACGTACCACGCGATAGCTTCATGTTGCCTTTTCGGTCTTCAAATGCTTCTTCAACCAAACCTCAAGTTCAGGTAAACACTTCACGCCTTCATGTGCAACCTTCGGAACAACTGTCAACTCTGAAGAGATACCAACTGCCTCCCACGCCTTTTTCAGCCATCTTAGCCTCTCAATTCTTGTTTTCCCGGCTTCAATCTCTGCCTCGTTGGGATCTTTCACCAATTCAACCCATGAAACATCCGTATCCTTCTCGCCCACGATAAACTGAACCGGGACTCGTGCCATCCGATCAAAGTCCGGTCGTGGATTTTCTAAGGGACTGAACAGCTCCGAGATGTTTCCAACGCCTGCAGGCCAAGGCTTGCTCGTATCTGGAGGTGTTATCCGTCCAGGGGCACCAATCGATACGCCTGCGATTCTTTCGGGGTGGAGATACATGAATCGATGGGCGAATTGGCCTCCTCCGCTGAACCCGTGTAGGAAGAATTGGTCCGTGTTAATGCGCCATATCTGACTTGCTTGATCGATCATCGAAAGAAGGATAGTGTCGAAACGGATATCCTTGTAGAGAATGTTCTTGTAATTGTGTACGTCGACGTAATCGATGATCCCGGCGGGAAATAATGGACAAAGGAGGACGACGCTGTGGGTCTCGCAGAAATCTTTTAGTTTGTCGATATACCTGCCCGTCTGACGTCTGGTACCATGGATGATAACCAGCAGAGGTAGTGTGGGGCCATTGAAAGAGTGGCATTGCGGAACGTAGCAAGAAAATGAAAACCGTTGGTCCATGGTAGAAGCAAATGATGGGGTCTTCCCAGTGAGGATTTTGACATGGGGATGATTAGCAGGATGGTGTTTGAGGGAGTCGAGGAGAGTGCTCGGTGATGGTGGCATGATGGCCGTCCGATGTCAAGTTGAAGTCCGACGCTAGCGTCGGCGATCCCTGCAATCGCTGGCACGTGATCGCGAGAATGAGGTTCCGTACCAAATTTCTTAGCCAACCACCACACGTTCGTCCGCATTTTGAATATTGATGGCCTTGCGTCTGCCACTCAAAGTGCAGTCCATTCATTACTGAGATATTCATTGAGATCCTCAATGAATTGACCATCTTCGGTGAGTTATTACGCTCTCCAAAACGCCCCCCATCAATTATTGATCTTTCTCTTACGCGACGAAAAGTTAGGCTCTAGGGTCTTGGCCAATAGATTTTTCGAAGCTTGCGCCAAAAATCGGATCACAGACGTCAACGGATCGGGAAAGGTGAGCGCTTCCTTTAAACCTTTCGGTCAAAGCAGTTTGGCGGACCTCCGCTTCGTCAGTCCTGAAATTGTCTAGTTGCTCTCACGGAAACGGAATGCCATAGCCCTCGGTGGACACCCCCGGTTACGGGTTTTCGGAGAGTATGGGTTGTGAGAGAGGTCAGCCGATTGAGCCGGTCAGGGGGAAAATAGCTAAGGGACACCAGAAAAAAGCTTTCGTCCAGAATTTGACCTAAATGAGCATTTTGCTTCCCCTTGAGGCATTTTCAGACTGAGATAGGTCTGTCCACAGTCAAGATTGGAAGACTTCCCGTAAGGATTTGCAAATAAATAGATCACAAATAAAAGTCTTGTTAGAAATTGGAAATTGGAATATTGACAGATTATTTGTGAAACACTTCCCGGAATGTGGAAAATTGGAAGAAGTTTCCAGGTTTACTACTCCATATGGTAACTATGGACATCATTCCTCTCCTGCTGCAGCAAGATGATGAAGCTGAAGCTGATGCTCAGTTGTAAGACCTCCAACTTCTTGGTGCTTACATAGCAGGTTCCGAGTCCAAGGTACGAGGAGTCGACTGAGATTTTTGGGGGTAAGATTTTCCCTTTCATATTTCATTGTCATGTGATCACCTACACTGGGCTGCGAGGAGCCGGGGGTCACGCCGGGTGATGAGCAGCCATTCACCTTGACTTCACTGATGTACCACTTACTATACACACACAACTCATATATCATATATACCATAAGTTAATATTTTTGAGGGTATCTTTCTGAGCACAGTGAGCTATGCAGTGGCAAAGCTACCACCTGGCATCTGTTACAGATTGTGAGATCCTGATGTGGAATGCATAGTGTCAACTAGCTAAAGCTTCAGATCAAGTTGCCTTCCCGCAAATCACCATTCCCTCTTCCTGTGTTTGCTTATACTCAATCCCTCTAAAGTCTATGATACCTCCCCAACTGAATTGATTATATCAATAATTCATCTAAGCCAGTTCTTCTGAAACATACAACTTCAATTCTGTCTTCTTTCCACTCTTCATAATAATCAGATAATGTAGAATTCATGCAGAGGGAGTAGGGCAAATAGGTAGACATCTCAATACAAATGTGCATCCTTGACTTGATAAATTTTCTTCCTGAAATCAAATACAATCTGAAACCATTCTTTGGTTGACATAGAGTTGACTCACTCAATTCATCTTCTCAGCCTTCAGAATCACTGAACTTATTCTGTAGCAGGTCTAATGCAGATAAGGTGAGAACATATCATTCTATCAGATACATGCAACTCATGTGTATAATAGTTAGGCAGAACTATCAATCCTCATTGTAATCCATTCCACATGCATATCAAAATTAGTTGGATATATATCCAAGTAATTTGGACTCTCAGGAAAGTCTGTAACTGGTATTCATTGCTTCTTGAATCACTAGCTATGAGAAGGATAATTTTACTCATCCTTCCTCATTGATTTAATCAGTTCTAACACCCTATCCACTGGGTTCTTATTCTTTCCCTTACTGTAGGCTATACAGGCTCAGGGCTCATTCTGCCTGTGCTTCATCAATTTGGCATTTAGTGACATATTGCATGATAGAGAAGCTATGGTTTATAAATATGTTATTTTATGACTTTTCAATAATGTAAATAGGCAGCTCACACCAACTCTAGTGGGAAGTGTGGGGATTCAGTCCTCTTGTGGTGTAATTTCTGCATCAAATCCACATATTGAAAATTTATTTGGGAGGGGCTAAACATAGTTCATGTATTGGTCATCAAAATCTATTTCACCAGGTTATGGCATTGTGAACAAAGAAATAGTAGTTAAATATACTGATTGTGAATCTGTACATACTAAGGCTATACATAGAAAGTGGCACCATCCCATCCTTGGCCCTAAACTACTGCCCTGATTATTCTTCTACTTTTACTCTATCTTCAGCTGTTGATTCTAAGGCGAGTCTCTCTACTATTATAATGCTCTATAGTGCTATTTGGGGTAAATTGGTAAGGTGGTAGCCATAACACAGCAACTGCAAGTGATAAAACAAAATAGTGCATACCACTGTGTTGTCTCTAGATCTCAAAAACATATGTTTATATTCCTACCATGAAGGAAACCATCCAGACATCAGACATTAAATAGACCATTTTACTACCCTCTGCTAACCACCAGAACCATTGCTGATATGATGCCACTATCCAAAACTCAAACATTCAATATTACTTACCCTTGCCCAAAGTTTTCTGAAGAAACTTAATGAGGTGTGTGTTTTGGTTTGTGATTCTTCTTTTCCATTCAGCATTGACAATTTGCTGTTAGGTTACAGAACTGAATCTTCTGCTCTCTGTATGTCAACCCTCTACAGACTCCCTTGTCAAGAATGAGAAGGAGTATCCAGAAGTTTGATTCAACAGTTGTCATGT